GGAGCAAAAGAAAATCTGATAAAAATGAACACAAAAACCAAATACACACATTTAACTTTGGTTCGTTTTTTTTTGTTGCGTTTTTATTTCATTTTAAATTTATTTCGTATATGAACACAATGTAGACAGAGTTTTGCAAAAAAAAAGAAGAACGAATGACGAAGGAAGACAAGAGAGATAACAACAAAACTGTTGGAAATAGATATATCTGTAGGTTTATTCCTTTGCTGTTAGGCAAATGTATCATAGAATGGGCCTCTATCGAATATCGATGTTTGTGCAATGCCTGGACACGATCTGCACAAATACAATTAATCTTTCTTTTTTTTCTCTCTCTTCCTTTGTCGTTTTTTTTTCATTGTTCCGTACCATTGCAAAGGAACGACCAATATAATTTGTCAGCTCATTGGAAAAAATTATTTCATATGGCAAATCAATAGAAAAATGAACACAGCAGACCGTTTTGAGTTTGCGCAGAAAAATACACACAAAAGAAAAAGAAGAAGATGAAAAGAAAAAAAGTTTTGTCCTTGGACCAATGTGGTTCGCCCATGTTCCTCACCATCAATTTACCAAGGTTTTACACAGAGATATCTCTCTATCGCCCTCTCTGTCCATGTCTGTCTCTTTTAACGTCTTTTTTTCTATTCTTTAGAATACAACCAACACATTTCGTATGGTGCAGGCGAGAGAGAATTTTTTGGTGAACTTTGAGTTTCTGTCGTTTCGAAACGTATCGCCCGGATATAACAGAATATAAAAATATAAACAGAATATTAAATCGAAGGACAGAACAACAGATTCACCAATATTTTTTTGAACACGAATCGAGGCTATATATTTGGACCCTCTTTATGATTTCCAAAAATAAACTGGAAATAAACGTATTTTTATAAGACGAAATGATCACTTTTTTCGCCATTTTCAACCCATTCTCTCTTTCGTCCTATTCATCTGAGTTCGCGTGAATAACGATTTTTTCGATATGGAGTTTCTGGAATCAATTTTATGGTGATTTAGCTGTGAATAAATTTACGGAAATAGCTACTTTAATCGTTGGTTATCTTCATGATGATCGATCAATCGCATGCATTTCGACACATTTCGGTGGACGGTGAGATATAGTGTTTTTGGCGTGCAAAATCACATTTACACGAAAAAAGTGAGAAAAAAATGGGAAGAAATGAAAAGAACTGACATTCGGTTTGAAAATATGATATCGAAGAATGAAAACTAATTCAACACTTGAAAAATTTCGAGCCAAAAATCAGTTGACTACATTATATCTTCTTCATATCCATGTAGTCAACTTATTTTTCAGCTCGAATTTTTCCAAGTGTTCAATTCCAAATCTCTATTCTATTTAATATAGCCGATTGAATTTCGATGACTAAGTTTTTTTGTTACTTTGCTGCGATGTACTGGAAAATTCAATTAACTATTTATTTTTGTTCTGAATATTCTAAGTCCGAATTCTGATTTTATTTCCGGCTCGAATTATTCTAAGTTCTTTTTTAGTTTTATCAAGAAATAAATCAAACACTTTATTTTTATTTAATTCACACTTTTTTAGCACTTGATTTGGTTTTAGGGAGATGTTTATCCAATTAGATTTAAAGAAAACTGAACAAACTACATAGGATGCACCGGTTATTTATAGTGCAAATCCAATGACAGAGATAGCAACAATAGCATCAAAAAACTAACACCCTTTTCGCTCACCCTTACAATTGTTTACGGAAATGCAGCGAGAGTGGTTTCCGATGAAACCTGTTGTCTATCTAACACGTGTAAAACTATGGCTCACGCTATGGTCCGATGTGAAAAAGATACGGCGGGTCCACAAACGCAATGCTGCAATGCATGCATCAATGCATACTCACCCTCTCAATTCGCGAGCGATATTACGCCTCGTTAACACAACCACCATTCCGTTCGCGTGAAACTCTTAATCTATAGACTCAACACGAGCGTCGCGCGAGAAAGAGACGGTTATATGGTGACCGAACCAACGCCACACCCGCACCGCTCTAACACATCAGCCAAATACGAAAAGACGCTAATATACAAATGCTAAATGTTGTGAATGAGCGCATTTGCATTATCCTTTACAATGAATTAAGGAATGCAAAGCCTACTACATTGGCCAGTTCTTGGCGGTCCTGGATGAAAATAATTTTCTTTTTCATTCTTCGATATAATATTTTCAAACCAAAAACGAGTCCATTTCTTTGATATCCGATTGGCAGAGTATTTCTCGTTTCTGAAATATTTTAAGTCCAAAAAATAAATTCAATTCTATTCACGGATTTCACTAAGTCCAACAATTATCTACATGATGACGCTAATAAGATAGAGATGATGCAATCAACAATCATATCTATGACTAACTAATTAAGACCATGTGAGTACGCATGTACACCAAGTTATCCCGACCGGACAGAGGCTCCCAATTTATATTAATTATTGGCTTTAGAACATGTGTAGTATTTTTTGGTATAAATACCAATTTTACCGTTTATCACATTTATTATTGTTTGAAACCTCACTGAATAAAGTAGCTAGTTGCACCACCATCACTTTACCGAGTATTTATTTCAGTCTCCCTTTGGATCCTTACAATCAAGAAACAATCACTTTATTGTTTCCACACTATTTTCACTTGTTGACCATTTTTTTCTTATTAAATGTTGTTCAAACTAGATAATCCAAAAACTGAGCGATTTACCTACTCTTCATTGGCTATTTATAGCGAATTTCCGATGATTGAGATTGAATAAGATTGATATTGTCTTTTCACTTGCACACGTTACTGTTGTGAGTGGATTCAGATGCAACACTCACACAGCGGGCGGATTCACACATTTGATGCAGTGAATCTGTGCATTTTCCTCCTTTGAATTAGATTGCGTCCACAGACTAAACACAAATATTCTTCTCTCGCATGAGTTTGCATCAGCGAACATCAACTACAGTGCACAGTGCACGCAACCCATCTGAACACATTTAGAGTCACAACTATTTTATTGTAACTAAATTCGTTTGGAATATTAACTAAAAATAATTGAGCCTCGGTTTTCGGTCAAATCCACACTCAATGTTGCCAATGAGCGCATTTGTATTTGCTTGAAGATAGAATTCAAAGGAAATGCAAAGCCGATTTTGCTAAAATAATTTTACTCATTTGGATATGAAAATGGTAAAGAATCCTTTTAAAATCCTGAAAATTAAATCAAACAATGTTTTGAATGCATACAAAAGAAAGCAAAAAGTGGAAAATTCTACCGAAATGGATAACAAAACTTGGAATTCTGGTTTGAAGCGAAGACGAAACATTGAATTCTTAGTCAATGAAAAGTCAGTATAAAAGCGAAAAAAGAAAAGAAAATGAAATATGCGGTTGTTGTTAGCGTGACAAATGCGAACGTGTTCTTTGACTCCATTGTTCATGATAACAGTCAATCAACCAAATTGTGTGTATCAAAAACTGCACCGCACACAACCGAAAATTGTAATACTGTCTCATTGAGTATTGAAATAATACGAAAATGGTAATCATAATCAAAATTGAAATAAATATTTAATGGCGATGATGATATCATTTTTGGTCAATATAAAAATCCGAATGGATATTTCAATAGAAACCCAAAAATGAATGCAAACAATACCGAAACAAAAATAATGATAAATAATTGAATAAGAACCCTCGTCGCTATAACAGCGTTATGAATTTAACGAATCAATAAACGAGTTCGTGCATTGTAATTGTATTTCACCATTTTCGGTGGAGAATGAAAAAAGACAAACAAAAATTTGGGATTTTTCAAAGTGATTTTGTGTTTCAATGTCCGGTATTTTGTGTTCGGATGACACTTGCACGGTATTAATCAAAACAAATAGGCATTAAGTAGGCTATATAGATCGACTGAACCTCTATTCGTAATTACTTCGAATGCGTTTTTAATTTGGTTGCGTTTTATTTTGGTCTTTCTATTCCGTCTGTTCGCTCGCGTCCCTTTGCTCGTCAACGCATACATTATCTGATGCACTGTACAAATGCTCATCACCATTGGATATCGCGCCATCCATACACGACACACATCGCAACAAAAACGAGCAGGGATCGTGCGATCATGCCATGAATGAATAAATAATTGCAGTAATTTTTTCGGGATTCAAACCCCAACAAAAAAAAAATGCCGACTAATTAAACTGAAATTATCAATTATTCATATCATAATATGGAAATTAATAACACACAGTAAACGCGGAGTAAAAATGTGTTTGTATTCACATAATGAAATTAAAGCTCATTCAAACCGAATTGCATTCATCCATAAATGGGGTATGTAATTTTTAAATGGGACAAATTTTGCGTTTATAGATTTAAACGAGACGATTTTGTTTTTCATTTCATTCATTGAATTTTGTGGCGTGCATGTCATCAGAAAGATGTTTCGATACATAAAACCAGACCACAAAATCAGATATCAACAATTCGATTAATATTTATTTTGAGAAATCGTTTTTTTTCGTTTAGCTCGATATCGATAAATTTCGAGGAAGAAGAATTCAATGAACTTTGCATGAATTCACGAGAAATGCTGATGAAAACAAATCGAATTATCAAATGTATTCAGATTGGTAGTTTCATTCTTTAATCATTTAAATAGCGTTTATTCGTTTTTTTTGCTTTTAAGCGAAACTTAATTAAGCGAAAATTTATTGTGAAACTCTTTCGCTAACCACTTGGCGGTTAATAGAACGATTTCAAAGGAATCCTCAAAATAATATCAGCGCCGTCAATGAATAATCCAACAAACGAAACTGATAAGCCAGGAACAATGACATTGACGTTTCTCGATATATTTCAACCGTTTGTATCCACTTAATCCGGTATTACGGTTTTGACGCGTGATATCAGTAACATGGGATCAGTAGCGAAGGTGTTTTAGTATTCTTGACTTTATTGTCAGTTCTTAAAAGCTATACAAATGAAAAGAACGACTGAGTAGTGCGCAAAAAAACTGTGTCAAATATTGTCTCTCATGGAAAAACTGCTGTCGTGCTTCGTTGACGTACTAGCTGTCATTATCGTTATATGGCGCTGCCATAATCTCTACCGTACTTTATAAATGGATCGCCAATAAAGAGTGCCAAAACACCATCAATACATATGAAAGTGTTGTGAAATGAGAAAAAGTCTGCAATTCAGAATCTTTAAAAAATTCTTTTCAGTTATTACTCATTCGTAAGAACGATTTTGTCATCAGATTGGTAGACTACCAATGGTAGTGGAGCTTCAACTTTGTTAGTTGTATGTGCAGTTCGCAATTTGAATATGTATTCAAATGTATATGATTCTCTAATCAATTCAAAGACTCCAAAAATAAAAACATATGTGGTGGTTCATATGCACAACAGAACACATAGCAACCATGAATGTTTCACTATATCAGTCGATAGATATTGATGGCTTATCTTAACTTTAATAGGAATTTCACTTTCAGCGTAATATCAGTAACTCGTGCCAAATCTGATAAGAGAAGTGAAATCGATACGTCGTAATTGATATTATGGAGCAAAAGTGTTTCAACTGTCATTGCAAACAGTTCAACAATTGACTGTTCAATGACCAATTCTTTTCATCATAAAATTTGTTGAAACATTTTGTTGGAAATTCAATTTCAATCTTCCATAATGAAGTTCAATTTGATTATCGTGCTAGTTCATACGGTTTGTATAGCAGCTAACAGTGAAAGTGGCACAAAAGTTGAAGTGAATCCTCGAAAAATCGCTGAAGATGGACAATTTCCATTTCAAGTATCAATACGATCAAAAGTCGAGGATTGCCTTGGATGTGGTGGCGCTTTACTCAATAATCGATTCATTTTAACAACTGCCTATTGTGTGTATGCAAAAAAAACCTGAACGGATTTATGCAATTCTGGGAATATTTGGACAAAACGATGATGGTCTTCGAGTTAACATAGAAAATATTAAAGAACATGAGTCATATAAATATTATTCGGAAGAGAATAACTTGGCGCTATTGCGAATAGTTGAAGAAATCAATTTTTCACATCGGATACAACCAGTACAAATGCCACCTTCATACTGGTCAGATAGTAATTATGGAGATTTTGAGGTATCTGGATGGGTTAATCTGGAAATGGAAGTAAGAATATCACTTCTGATGCATATAATTGAGATCAATTCAGGTTAAAATTTCAATTTTATTTTCAATGTTTCCCAAGTATAAGTTGCAATACTAGGATGCTATATGTCAGCTTCGGACCCATCGCTCAATTCTTCTCACTTTTTTTGTGTTGAAACACTGAGTTTCTATCCAAGGCCAGGTACGTAACATACTGTATATATGTTTTAATGAAAGTTTTCAGGTTGCAATCTTGACAAAAATGTAATACTTCGTCTGAATTTTTAAACAGGAAGTCTTTTGACTTTTCGAGAATCTTACTTGGTTGGGATATCATCACAACCTCATAATTGGGTAAATATAGGACTTTGTGCACATATATTACAGTACTAATCATCAATGAATTTTCATTTCAGAATGCAGGTGATGCACTTTATTTTCGAATTCATAACGTTTTACAAGAAGCAAAGCTATCGAGATGAACCTAATCTTTTTGAGAGATTGGTCTTTATTTTTCCTGTTTCAAAAAATCAACGCGAATCCAAACGATTTTTCAGATCTAATATTTTTTACATTTTTCTTTTAGATTCACATTTAATTGACATTTTTTTAACTGATTACATGTAATAATATCAGATGCCCATACTCGTATTTCAACATTTCTTCCATGGATTGAAGAAAGTTTAGAGCCTAAAGAAAAGAGCCTAGTGAAAATGGTTTTGATTGTAGGATTTTCAGGAACAGCGTTGATTGTGGTGGTGCTTCTACTAGTCAAATACGTTAAACGTGTAAATGGACGAAGGCGCCCAGAACCATCAACAACGACAACGCCAGCGACAACAACTTCCATACCTATAGTGTCAAGTATAAGTTATAATGCTCCCGAACACAATGTTCCATCCGCACCACCATCAACTCTATATCTGACAACACCTTCATCAGTTTCTCCGCCAAGCTACGATCATTTGTTCCCAAACAAACCGGAGTTCAGCTCACATCCATATAATCAACGTCCAGTTTAAGTGATCCGATTATGCCAACGTTTAAAAAAAGAGTTCGATTTTTGAGAGATCATTTATACCGAAAGCAAGTGATAAGCATGATAGGACGTGATAACAACTCAATACATTCCATGAAATTAAAGAATATTCCTATTCGATTATCGACTAGTATAACGTTTTTAAAACATTTTTTTTGTTTTTTGTTATCACTGTTTCGCTAAAAATGGATTAACGAACAATTGACGAACACATCCAAATAAATAGGAAAAAAAATGGGACACTTGTTGGATAATAATTGAAATTGTTGAAAAATCGGAATGGATTGACATTCTCAGTTTTCCATCAATTAAAAACTGGCAAAAATATCTCTAGTTCATAATGAAAGTGTTGTATAAAGTATAAAATAGAAAATCTTCAAAATCCTTTACTCGCATATTTCAACATTTCTGCCATGGATTGAAGAAAATTCAATGCTTTACAGCGGAGACATAATGAAAGCGATTATCATGTCATTTTTACTAACATTCTTTTTTATAATTGGTGAAATACGCAAAACGTCGAAATATGCAGAGGGATACTGAATCATCAGCCGTGATAGCGATACCAACTTCCTTGCCTACTGTGTCAATTAAAAGCCGTGACTTTAGCATGTCTGCCTCAAATATATGGTCTATGAATGTAGATGGCCCACAACAACATGTTCCACTTACACCTTCACAAGTTGTTCCACCACCGAGCTACGAAGAATTGTTTCCCAACAAACCCGAGTCCACCTCAAAAACAACGTTTAGACTAGATGATCCTACTTTGTGCAAACGTGTTATTTTAAAAGGAATCTGTTTATCCAATCATACACAAATGGAGTGGATTTGATTGAATTCTTGTTTTTAGGACAGTTTTTTGTTATCGCTATTTTGCGCTAATGCCTAATGATTATTATGTGAGCATCACATCATGATAAAATGAGTTGAAAAATGTACTACTGCCGATAATGAACGGTAAAAATGAAAAAAAGGTTGAAAATTAATTGAAATTGTCAACGAATTTAAAGACATAATTAAACAGTTAGGTGTTGAACTCTTATTATTATTATTATTTATTGATTTTATAGTCTACTTTGATAAGCCGACTTTAGAATG